AAGGAACCTTTCTATCATTCCATTAGCAGTCGGATGATAAGCAGTAGTTCTAATTCTCTTTATACCGAAGGTATCTGTTAGTTGCTGAAATAGTTTGCTTTCAAACTGAGCTCCACGGTTGGTCGTAATTGTTGTAGGGACACCGAAGTTTGTAATCCAGTGTTTCACTAGTTTCTTCGCCACTGTTGATGCCGACGTGTTTTTTAACTGGACGGCTATGGGCTATCTCGTGAATCTATCTATTCATGTTAGTATATGCGTGTAACCATTAGAAATGGGTAACGGTCCAACTATGTCGATATGAATGTGGTCGAACCCAACGCTAGCGGCGGGAAAATTCCTGTAGGAGATATGATATGTCTATGTACTTTTGACTACTGGCATTGGATGCATTCGCGTGACCATTTTCGTACGTCTTTGTTTATGTTTGGCCATACAAACCTATCTGTGATAAACTTTACAGTGGCTTTAATACCTGGATATGTTGTGTAATTTTTCAAAAATGTTTCGTCTCATGTTACAAGGTACAAAGGGGCGAGTTTTACCTGTTGAGGTATCACAAGTTAAGGTGTCCTTGTTGTCTATGGGGATGTTTTGGAGTAATAGTTTCGTTTCCTTAGACTGCAAAAGTTTTTGTAGCTGCCAATCGAGCTTTTGATGTTTTGCCATTTCTTGATAGTCTATATCAGGGAATGAGAAGGTATTGATATTTAATCTCGATAGTGCATCAGCTGTATCATTCTCCTTGCCTTTTATACAGCGTATATCAGCTGCAAATTGAGGAATGAATTCTAGTTGACGAATTTCGCGCGGACTGTATTTATCATGATTGTGCATCAAGGACTTAGTTAGAGGTTTGTGATCAGTATATATTGTAAAAGAATTGCCTACTAACATATACCGAAAGTGTTTGATGGCTAATTAGACAGCCAACAGTTCTCTACATAATGTGCTATATTTTGTTTGCGTTGCATTTAGCTTTTTTGGGAAAAATGCAAGGGGTTGTCACTGTTGATTGACACGTTTCTGAAGTACAGCACCTACTGCTACATTAGAAACGTCAGTCATTACTGCTAAAGGTACATCAGCCTTCCATCGTTTTAGTAATGCTTCGGTGCTTAGGGCGCTTTTCAACTGTTCAAACGCTTGAATTGCTTGCGGTGTCATTGTTAATGATTTAGCTCGTCCCCTTAATAAATCAGTTAGCGGTTTTGCTATGTCTGCACATGTCGGGATAAAACGTCTGTAAAAGTTAATCATCCCAAGGAAACGTCGTAGTTTCTTGAATGAATCAGGTAAAGGATAATTCTTGATGGCTTGTGTTTCCTCATGAACTGGTTTGATGCCTTGATTATCAAGTACGTGACCTAAAAAGGTGAGGGAATGTTTTCCGAACTCACATTTGTCAGGATTGACTGCTAACCCATACTCGTTTAGCTTCTCAAAATGCATTTTCAGATGAGTTAGATGCTCAGTTTCATCTTTGCTTGTGATAAGTAGGTCATCTATGTAAGCATATACAAACAGTAAGTCACGTACCACTAGGTCTATAAAACGCTGGAAACTTTGTGCAGCATTCCTTAATCCAAAAGACATGCAAACAAATTCGTATAGTCTAAATGGGGTAGTAATAGCTGTTTTGGGTACATCATCCGGGTGACTTGGAATGTGATGGTAAGGACGGACGAGATCAACCTTTGAAAAAATCGTTCGAAAGGACAGTAAAACGGTTATAGTAGAAAGAGAGGGTAAACAAGATACTGTTATCATCGACAGAGCAAAACCAACGTTTTTAGGGTACATTGAAAAACAGACAACGGTAAAATCGTCTAAACCCGCAGCAGAGCAAGCACCATGCATATTACATGTATATGTCACCTATCCTCGTATATAATCGTCGACTTAAATCGCGTTAGTCAATAACGGAATTAAATAGGTCAAATAACGAGAATGAACTTTCGAATACATATATTTTGTATATGAAGCGAATGGAATAAAGAGAAGCGAAACGGCGCGCAGTGGAGATGGCGGGTATGTCAACTCCATTTAGTCAAGCATTAATCAATATTTATGGTCACACAAAAATAGGTTACATACATGTGATGAATAGGATAAAAAATGTACACACATATATGCGCTCATATAAAAACAGTCAAGATTGATAAGAGAATAATTTACAAGGTCAGAATACTACTAAACTAGAATGAATGGATTGACCTGTCCGAAAGCTAGAATAAGATATATGGGGTTAACATGTCAACCGACACTACAAAGTATTTCTTGTAGTCTAGCTTAAGCATCGTGTCATACTCGTTGCTTGGTTTGTATAGTAGATATTTTCATTGATTTCAAGCATTTTAGGGATCCAATATGGACAATTTTTACTCACTTAATCATAATATACAAGTTATCTAGCGCTGCAATTTTAATTTCTCGCAAAAATATACAGGTCGTTGTCTTGATTCTGAATGGTTCACTCAAGGCAATAAGTAAAGTAAAATTATACTAAGAGTTGTTTAGGACTTTGATCTGTTGGATTATCACAACGAATAGGTTAAAGATCTAGAGGAAGTGAAACTCAATTGCTTATGACTTTATTTGAATGACACAGAATAGAAACAGACGAAGACCCTGAATTAGTTTATACTTTCATTCTTCATCAAAATGAGAGGATTTCAATGAACTAAAATGAGTCTTTTATTGGCTACACTTTTAACTGAATTGAATTTTCTATTAAATACATGTACTGTATACTTATTATTTTCTTCTCTTTGCACTCAATGTCCATCAATTATTATTATCACAATATTACAATAACATAATTTTCTTGCTGCCCGTTTGTGCCAGAATTTAAGAGTAGTATATAAATGAATATGGTTGGTCGATTGTTATGACATTACCAGTTGGTTTAAAATAAAGCGATGTGTACATCATTTTCTCTAAAAGTGCAATGTGTCTTATGTTTGGAAAGAATTTATATTACCTCTACAAAGAGATTCTATTATATCCGAGCCTGCAAAAGACCCAATGAGTAGAGATTGACGAGTTTAAATCTCTTCACAGTAATTATCATAGAACAAGGATCTATTATTAACACTCAGTGTATAAAAAAATGTATATCTTGACTCATTATGGGAGTGGTTATTTCTGACCCCATCGTATTACGATTCCATATTAATCATCGAGTCGTCAATCACGGAAATTTTTCAACGAAATAAATAGTAACACATCTAGTTATTAACACGTTTATAAAGAAGTTAGATGAGAAAAGATATTCTTCATGCAAGAACTAATATAGACTAACTGGTATAATGTCAACAATTATAAAGATTGGCAGATTTGCTACCGTGCTTCTTCAGGTTCAATATGACTCATATTCCATTGTATGGATTATACCAAGCATTCAACTGTACTGAACCGGATTTCAGTTGCTTAATAAAATCAATAACTCATACTGGAGACTGAACAGTGTTATTGTCGATCATCAGCCGAATAAAGGAAAGTTAGGCATGGGGTTAGAAAACCCATTTCGTAGAGAAGAAAATTTCTTAAAATATCCTAGCCAGAAAAATTACTTAAATCATTTAAAATTTGTTCTGGAAGTTAAAGGATCAAAATTTAGAAGAATTATAACGTCTCACAGTAAAAAGCGAGACATAGTAACAGCGTAACAGGTAAGTAGAGCACTCTGAATAGCTCATGAATAGACCAGCCCCACTGAATTCATCGAACATCGAGGCGGCATTCACAGACCTTCTCATAGCTGGTACTCCACCAAAAATCGAAGAAATCAGCGAGGCACCAGACAAGTCAAGATTGGCAAGGCAGTAAGACCTGACAGCATACCAACTGAAGCACTGAAGTCAGATATAGAAGTAACTGTAAAGAATGAAAGTTTCACTAGATATCGAACATTGAGAACAGTAGGTTCATTTTCGTATGAATCGATCATGCACCGACCAAATCGCAATGTTACGGATCATTTTTGAGCAGCCAGATGAGTGAAACTGGTCGATATACATCAACGTCCTTGACTACGAGGAAGCATTTCATAAAATATATCTAACATTAATCTTGATTAAACTATGAAAACCAGGAAACACTGGACAGTTGTGTCATCCTAATATGGCACCCCTCAACAGAGTCCATCGATGTCCAGATCAGGAACAGGAACATTAAATATTCTTATTCCATTTTGGAGGCAAGTTTCGTGTTGAACAGATGATGAATGTGGAAACCCCATTCATTTCTTCAGAAAAATCAAACATTGGTTTTTAGCACATGTAGTCACTGTTTAAAACCTTCCAATCACGTAAACACATCAGTATGATGTATTTTTCCTGTCTATCGTCTTCATGTTTCGCACTAAATTTGTCTTTCTCTTTCCTCTAAACGGACCTATTAGGTCTTTGATTACCGCAGCTAGACAAAATCGATTTCTTCATCCTATCGTGTTTGTGCGTTATTATTAGCTGCTTCTCTCACTCACACACATACACATATCTTCCAATAGAAAACAAGAGAGGGGGAGAATGATGATAGAGGGACAGGACAGTAAAGTATCACATAACCTGCAGTTACCTTCAAGCTATGAATGAAAGAATGCACAATGATTTACTCGTTGTTCCTCTGGATTTCTGTAGAATTTCCTAGCTCAATTTGTTATGAATAAAATTTGATATGCAACTCACAAACCGACTAGTGTGATCTACCCAGATGGATGTAACAATAGAGAAACTTACTGTTTGACTAGATGATGTCTGATTACCTTACTTGTCTATACGTAAAAACTATGTGTTGTTAAGTTGTGTATGATAAAATCTATTGAAATATCTTAGTTCATATTCTACTACAGTTTACATTCGACGTGTCATTCAGTTTACAGACATTCCATTAACAATAGTTTAAAATTTCAAGCAGATAGAAAGTGAATGAAATGAATTTGTGATAAATACAATTTTCATAGTTAATCAAGTACTACATAACCTAATAAAGTAAACCTCAGAAATCGTCACAATGTGAAGTATTCCATAAACGATCAAAAACACAACCTGATATCATATGATACCCACATGTGTAATAGAATGAATAAAGCAACTCAATAAAACAGATATTGTTACAAAATGTTTCCTTTCTACATATATAATGTACATAAACCAATGGTAGTAACTTCTAAAAGCAGTTCAATTTATACAATATATACAATATATAGGTAGAATATTAAACCAGATATCGATTTATTCACTAACTATAAAGTTCAGACAAAAACTGGTCAATGAGATTACAAGGTAACATGGATTTTGTTAACGATAGTACCAATAATTATAACTAAAATCACTGAACATATGAGTGTTTAATTAGCTGTTAATTGGATGGATGATATTAGTAAGAAAATATAATGAATTATTAGTTACTAGGCCGTGCAGCACGAAGGTGGACATAAGTGTGACATCGTAATTCATATCTTTGGACGAATGATGCATTACATTGATCACAAACAAATGGTCGTACACCCGTATGTCGATATATATGATCACGAAGTTTATTTCTTTTCAGGAATGCTTTACCGCATTCTTTAAATGGACAAATATGAGGTAAGTTCATTCCGGAATCCCAACTTACTGTGGGAATAGATGGTTTAAGAAGAGGTGCACTTGATTTCGGTGCAATAAGTGGAAGAGTACGATTTTTATGAATACTCGGTGCTATCGATATTTCACTTGTAATTTCAATTGACTCTGTTGATTTAGGTAACAAATGTGGTGAGATAGTAGTTATTTCAGAGCTACCCTGATTATTCAATATTGGTTCAGAAGTATCAAAACTTGTTCCGAATATGTTACCAACCATAGTGATAGGATATTGTGCCAGTCGTTTAGAACTTTTACGGACATATACATGAGTTAATTCATGAGATTTAACTCCGGATAATCGTGCGAAAGTAGCACCACAACCAGGTTTTCTACAAACATAGGGCCTTTCACCACTATGAGTTCTTAAATGTTCTTCGAGTCTATTCAACTCTGAATAGGATCTACTGCATCCGGGAAACGTACAAGCATGTCGACGACGCGAATCCTTATCAACTGATGAATGTTGAGATAATTTATGTCTTTTTAAATCCTCCTCTGAAAAACATTTCACGTTGCAATTCGGTGTATCACATGATATCGGACCAGTATCAGTATGTGTTGATATATGTAGGTTTAATCGATATCGTCTCGTGTAAGATTTGTTACATTCTGGATATGTACAGTGGTACTTCCTTAATTCTTTAGTAGAATTAATACTGGACGAAACTGTGGGAAAGGGAACTACCACAGATGATTCAGTATCTGTAGGTGTTAATCTATTAATGGTATTTGTTTTAAGAACATTCCCCACTGAATCGTTTACATCGAATTTTCCAATATTATATAATAAGTTATCACTTTTAGCTTGATTTCTACCAGATGACAATGAAACCATAATATTCTCAACATTTGATGGTGTCACAATCACACCACCAATATTATTATTATTAAGGGTTGCAACAGACGAGACAGCTGTACTAGTAACACCAACATTACACAAACTATTTGGTGAAGTAATTATACCTCCAGTTGTATTCAGTCCTAATCCCGATATATACGTAGACAACGGAATAGCAGATAACAAATTGGGAAATAATGACGCTGTAGGGATTGTTAATGTGTTGACTCCACTGCTACCACTACTAACACCAACACTACCACTACTAACACTACAAGCACTACTAGTGTGGTTACCATTGTTGTTCACATTACTACCATTAACATTACCATCGATCATACTGCTGTTCACCAGCGGAGTACACATAGATCCAGCTAGCTGACTTATCATGTTCACTGTGGCACAATTCACAAGCACAGCAGCAACAAGTGGATTCAGTGCAGTCCCACTATTCTGTACAATATTACTCGTCAAATCTGTCACACTATTCACATTAGGCATACTCATCATTTCCGTTGAATTCACAACAGGAGAATGAAGCCACAATGTAGGCAATGCATTGGAAACAACATTCGGCATTTGCACACTTCCCGATCCATTCATTTTACCCGACAGTATAGGTTGAAGTGCAACATTTTGTATGGTGGGAGCAACATGTGGTGTACATGTGAGTAAATTGTGAATCACATCATTCAGAGGTAAAATTCCAATAGGTTTAACCGAATCTGTGGTTACGGTCACTGGAGTTGCATTTCCAGTGGCTTCATCCACTTTAATATTTGACACTGGGATGTGAGATTCACCTTTCATATGAGAGTCATCCGAATTCATATCTCCATCATTCCCATTGTAATCTTCCTCCGTATAATCTTCTTGTTCTTTGTTTAATACATCATCAAATGCTATATCTTCCTGTTTCATACGGTCTTCATCTGGATCTGTAGGTTCTACAATAACTATTTCATCATCATCATCACCACAGTTAAGTAGTTGAATCAATTCTGAACTTTCTATTTTACTTGATTGAGATAAATGTTTTGAATTAGTAGATAAGTTGAATTTTGAGGATGATTTCATTGATGCAGGCATAAGAGTAGGTCGATGAAGCATGATTGTGATTTTGATTTATAATATCCACAAATATAGTTGTATGTATATTTAATGAGGTTATAAACGGTAAATGTGACAAATTCGATCATTCATCTTTGCCTACTAATTTAAAGCATTAGACTATAGAGTTCACCGGACCAGTTTGGTTTGTACCTCTCAGACCAGTGACCATTCTCTTTGTCCAATCATACAACGACCGAGAGCTTTGAACGAATATCTTAAATCCTATTGGTCTACACAGATCCTTACATCCCAGTTAACCAATCAGAAGACGAATTGTCGAAATAAATTTTTCCCTATATTACTCTAATCTTTGCCCAAAATGTTAATAGAATATCTGAATCGACTCATGACCCGAACCGCGTCAAAAATAAAATAGATCACTGTTTGTAGGATACTGGATGGTATTTAATAAAAAATGCTGAGGAATAAGTGCAGAAATAACACAAGTTAATTTCGTAAAATTGAAATATATGTCAACAATTAGTGAGTAAAATATAAGTTTACAGTAAGAGCAATATACAGCATGAATCAAGTATTTAATAAACACAGAATTAGTGAACAAGTCCATGATAATAGTTTTCGTATTCTGAGCTTCCTTATTTGTTCGCATTCATCAGACACCTACTTTTTTTAAAGTATTTTCACTTATATTGGTTATATGGGTTTATTTGATTTGGATTATGTTGTCACGTAACTACAATCTATTCAACATAAATAATATTGAATGTTATTTACAATGAAGGAATCTAAGGACTTAGAAACTGCACAAAAACTCCCAAGATTATTTTGTAATGATTTTGTTGTGTCCCGATAAGGATAGTGAGTGGTAATTCTCTGGGATCTATTTATGGATCTATAGTCTGCGTATATTTTTGTCGTATAATAGTTAATTATCTAAACTATTCAAATTCATGTCTCTCTTATTATAAGCTTTATTTTAACCTATGAACTGTTAGCATACGATTTTCCATTCTTGAATTATTCCCTGTTTATTAATCACTACCTCCCACATTCACAGTAACATTTGGCCAAATCTTGTACAAATGTTGTTTCCTATTTTATGGTACGATGTGGTCTATCTGGTTGGTATATAAACCCAGTATGCTTGAAATGAACGATTCATATTGCAAAGGTTGAGATTAGTGTTCTGGACTTAACTGACTGGGCTAGGGCGAAAAGCAGAACTAATCAGGACTCTAGTCTGCTCGTACTTGTTTTACGCTTCCTTGGTTCGATCGAGAATTCATTGCTTCTGATTGGCGGCTTTGGGCTATAACAGATTTAAATTATATTTTGGCAATCACAACGTTTCTTTATTAGACATCAGATTTTTATAAATTATTGGGTTTTCACTGATTGACGAAAGACAGTATGATAATGTATCGTCTGAGGGCCTTTCTAATATAGTATGAATCCATACTGACATAAAAGTACATAATGTGCGTCACGTCATGATCTGAGTACCGTAGACTCCTTGAAGATCGGAAACTGAGGAAAAACATGTTCAGACTACCTGGTTGGAGACTAGGCGAAATGACTGAAAATCTGTAGTAATTGTTTAAATGCATTCATGTTTTAATTCCCTATTGATTTCATGTTCCAATATTATTAGAATACTGGATAATAACAAGTACCTAATATTATGTATATAGTGTGACAATCCTAACCGATGCACCAAGTTCTACCAGGTTCTATTTTGCTTATAACTGACTTACTGACTGAGACAACATTATTTTGTACATCTAATTCTAAGAATTTATCTCTTCTTCACGAACTATATCTTCTACGTAAGCAGTGGAATCGATGACACGCGTTTAGTCTTATTTCAGACTAATCAGTTGAATGTACTCACCACATCCCAGAGTTCATATTCACTCCGTGACTTTGGATGTACATATGTCAACTATGAATGAATGTAGATCAATAGTTTAGTGAGTTCTTTGGAACACATTCTGAAGACAAACCAGCTATATAGTATTCGATGACTTATATAGTAATCTCAGCTTATGTTGCAGCTAGCATTGTTACATGCATACATGATTCATGTTTGCTTTTGGAAAGACTCAGACAGCAAGTGACTGTCACGTCACTGTTAATTTGTTAAGAACTTTATTTTTTAATACGAAATTGTGACCTACAGAACATATAACATATCTATTTTCATGTAATTCTACGATTATACATGTAAGTTTGTGTCTATCTATACACATATTACTTTATTCAGCACATGTTTCTTTGTTGTAGTACGTATTACTTTTCTTGAGTTATACTGATGCTTGTAACAAGTAATGATTCTAAGTAGGCTGAGAAGTCTTTATCCATGATGCGTTTCTTACCTTTTCCCTGTGTGGAAAAAATATTTGAAATAAACTCTCTCAATCTAATTTGCAATTTCAATAGTTGACATCATGAGTCAATTGAAGCTAGACCATCATGGAAAACCTGGAAGCACTGAACGATCTTTTCGTCCCATTGTGGGACTCTTCAGAAGTGCGCATCCACTATCCCTCCTCGTGAGATTCGAACCCAGGACCTATCGGTCTCATGCGCGAACGCCTAACCTATAAACCACTGAGCCGGCCAGCATCCAATGGAATCAATGTCTAACTTCAACTAATCCACAAAGTCGAGAAGCACACCCACCAATGTCTTCAGTGAGTTACTATCTCACAACAAATCCAGTTGAACTCCACTGGTCTCTGCTTCTCACTAGAACTCCAGGAAATACCTTTTGAAGTCAGTCACTAGTGAGCGTATTTTGATTAGTATCAGAAGGGGTTTTGTAGATATTATAGTAATCTAATAGTTGAGATCATGAGCCGTTAATAATAATAATACTAATAATTGAAACTCAGTCAGTCAGTAAGATACAACGTAGGAACAGACATATATATGCATCGGTCCAAGTTACCATACCTCATCAACACAACAAGATGAACACCGGATTCATAGGAGTAGTTAGGTCAATGGTGGTAATATATAAAAGAAAGATTGCATATAAGGATATAGTACAAGAAGAAAGAATTAGTATATAGAAAGAAAGATATGTAGTGATTTTAATCTCATATTTTAAGGGTAGACAGAGAGTGTACACACTTACGCCATTGTGATCGATTGTGAGCCATGTCACCAAGAGTCTCCAACCATTGGTTACGATAGTCACGCGGACCCCAACTAAGTAGTCTGCATCTACCAACATGGCTCAGACTAGAAGTTAGTGACTTTGTGGACTGATGCCACGTTTTGGTTTGGCCGCCACTAATTCTCTTCCAACCATCTCTAACACCCGTTAGCATTGCACGACGTGGTAATCGGTGTTCGGGCATACGTAACACGTGGCCCAACCATCTCAGTCGATGAAGATTAACAACCTCATCAACCGATTTACCATCATTCCCTAATACTCTGCGTCTAACCTCAGTATTACTAACCCGGTGATCCCAGAAGATGCGAGCAATATTTCAAATATTAGTAGCTTACGAGTATCTTCTACTCTTAATGGCTATGTTTCGCAACCGTAAATTAAAACAGAACGAACTGCCGAGCAGTATACTCGTCCCTTTATTGATAGACGGATATCTCACCTTCGCCATAGGTGACGTAAGTTGGTGAAAGCCAAACGAACTTTTCGAATCCGTGTTGAGATTTCGTCAGACACCAACCCATCAGGGCTGATCAAACTTTCAATATTGGTGTTGTCGACGCATTCAACTACTTAATTCACTATCCTTAGTTCAGTTGCTGACGCAGGTCAGTATTAAAATAACAACTTGCAATTAGAGGGTGCGAAACGCGTCCCTAACATCCTGTCATTTCTGCTTAGTGCTACCAAAAGATTCTGCATTTTATCAGCGTCTTCACCAAACGAGACTGTCGCCTGCGTATTCTAAGTCGATAAGTGGACCCTCCTGGAAGGAGGTCAATATCCGAGAATTCAGTCAACGAGAGCGTTATTTCCATCAGTACGGCTATGATGAAGTTGAACAAAAATGGAGATAGTGGACAGTTTTGACGGACACCACTTGAGGTTGTAAAAGCAGATGACAGTTCGCCATAAGCTCTGACTCGATTGGTACTGTTCGAGTAAAGAGCCTTTACAAGGTTTATGTACTTCCGAGGTACGCCTTTCAATGACAGACACTGCCACAGAATCTTGCGGTCTACGGAGTCAAATGGTGCCTTAAAGTCAAGAAAGACCACCACTGTCGGACTCCGGTAAGTATGTCTATGTTCTAGAACCTGACGAATGGTGAATATGCGGTCGATGCAGCCGCGACCAGGTCTGAAGCCAGCTTGATTCTTTCGTGTTTGCAGTTTGCGAGTCTTAGTTAGGCGTTTGATAATTATCGAGGCTAGTATTTTAGATACTATATTAGTTAAACTAATCCCTCTATGGTTGTTACAGGATGATTTTGACCTCTTCTTATACATTGCAACAATCAGTGATTACGACCAGTTAGATGGGATTACACCCCACTCCCATATTTTAGATAAAATACTAGTCAACCTTATCACTAAAATTGGACCACCATCCTTAACTATAGCCTTTCGAACTTCGGTTAGAGTTGGGGGACATACTCTAATGTTCCATTCACACTGTTTGGGAATTGAGGGTAGTTATAGAGTAGCTGAAGGCCAGCTGAAATGCGCCACCCATTGTTCTAAACGTCTGGACTGGGAGCAGATGAGATTATCGTCTTTTTCCGAAATAATCTCACTTACACTTGAATTATTAGTTCCAGTTTCTTTTATTAGTCTGTAGAGCTGTCTTGTGTTCCCTATAGCCGCTGCCTTTCCATTTCTTTTGCTTTCGTCGCCCACCACTTCTCACGGTCATTCCTCAGACTTTTGCTTAACATAGATCTGATTTGCTTACGCTCTTCATCGTGTTCAGAACCTGATGGGATGAGTTTACGAGAGTCCACCAGTGTAACAGATTTAATAGAAATTCATTGGTTTTTTGTAACGCTATGGTTCAAAACACTAATAGATATCAC